GTTGAAGGTGCTGTCTTCTACTCCCACTAGTAGCGGTCGTGCATACGCACTGCTGGTCATGCTTGCCTTACTAGGACGAAACGGCCATGATTCCAGGTTTCTAATGCTGGTCTTACAACAATGATCTATTCATAATTCCAATGAAATTACAGCAAAGTGAACTAAAACAAAATACGCGCATACCAAACAGTAGCAGAGACGCAGCAAAATGAATCAATTTAAAGAAAGCGCTAGTCATGACTGTATAACTGGTAATTAGTTGAAAAACGGTTCAAGGTATTAACCAGTTCTTGGGGATTATATGAATCTGAGTTGGTGAATACTAGACTGAGATCAACCATCGTTTATCATTAGTTAACAAAGCATACTAATCATATATATTTGCTAATAGAATAAAAATGATTGGTTGACAAGTTAACCGACGATAGATCAGTTAAGTTCATTCGTATTCTACATTTAAGTTTTCTCTCATTATCACTGACATAACCACTCTGACTTTCATCTTGACATTTCCATCTCGTAACTCTGCACTGTAGGTCAATGGTACACTGTTAAATTCTAACGTCGCCCCACGATAAACTGAATATATATCTATTATATACATTTCATGTCCCTCATTGTTTATCTAGTTAACGAAATGGACCATTGTGTTCTTCATATGCAATCGAATAACTAGATCCTATTATCCCCTAAGGATATTCATTTCTCAATTAGAGTTATGTATATTAGTGTTTCTATATATTTGAAATCATCAGTCAATCATTGTTAGACCACCATTTAGAACCTGGAAGCACTGGACGGCCGTTTTGTTGTCCTGGAATGGGACTCATCAGCAGTGCGCATCCAAGACTCTGTTTACACCACTCAGAAGTAATATATCATCTGTGTTCCAATCTCCAGATCTGAAGATGAGTTCTCGAAATGTATAAAAACTATTTAGTTTGTAGTGACACACGACAAAGTTAAATAAATATACAGAGAATGATAAATACTGATGTAAACTATTTTACTTAATCATTATATGTGATGCTATAATTTAACTTAATATTTCATAACTATCTGAACTGGAATTTACAGATTATGTAATCTTAAATTCAGTTATTCTGTGTTATTCTTACGTAAATCTATCTGATATTAATCATTACGTACTGTAAGTCAATACTGATGTTATGTGATATGCTTGGAACTACTACGAGTTCATCTTACTCGGTAAACGGAACGAAGATGAATCATGCAGTGACACGATATGCTATTCTAATCCGAATGTTCAAGGCCCCGTTAACTAGAACAAGAAGTCTTGATCAGGCGTGGAAAACATATTCTACAGGCATCCAGAAAAGTTGAGGTTATCAAGCACACAACTCAAGCATATTTATACAATGATAAAATGAACCTTGGTGAGAGCCACAAAATAGCGTACTAAAATAATCCGTCAAGCAATAACAGTCAAGGATGTTCCGAGTGGGAAATGTAAGCCGAAGGTGAACCAAGCGTCCTCGGCGCGAAAACATAAAAATTCAAAAGTTCAGAAATAAATTACAAGAGTAGTACCTTTCCAAGTGAGTTCTGGGGATCTAACATTATGTAACAACTAACTTCGGCAGTTTTTTTATCGATTAACTTACACCATCGACATTAATTTATGAGAAAAAAGTAAATCAAACCGACAATCCATGAGGACTATGTGCAATAAGAAACTTTTCACTTTAGTTGACATGTCATGAAACTGTTCCAGTTGATATAATATGATCGTAACATGTAACGCGAGTTAGACATAATGTGAAATCGTATGTGTTTCAAAAACAACAACTTCATGTGGAAGCAGAATTTGCTCACCAGTGACTAGTTTCCTAAGGAAATTCTATAGGTCACAGTGAGGAGTGGTGATCAGTGGAATTCAACCCTATCAGGTGTAGGCAGTTACCTACCTAAGACAATGCGTGAGGTTCGTCGAAATCGCTAGATTAATCAGAGTTAAACATTAACACCGTCGAATGACAGCCGGAGGTTAAACGTTCGTATGCAAGCCTGAAGATCTTGGATTCGAACCCTGTGAGTAGCAGCAAGAGTCATGAATCCGTCCTGCCACTGATGAGTCTCATGTCAGCCGTTTTTCATTACTTTCAAGTTTCTTCTTCATGGTAATTTAACAATGATTGATTAACAATTTCCTACCTTACTATATTCTTATCATTTTAAAGAATGTTAAAAAATTCCTTGTATCGTTTTCATTATGCACACAAAATCTGTGACAACTTTATACATCAACTTATTCTAACATCATTAAAACTCTTTGATATTTTATGAATGCTTGACCTGAATTGTATTTATGATTGAGAAATTTATTCTATGACCCATATATAAAATATTCTTTCATCATGTCGAATGATTAATAAATCTGATTATTATTATTATTACTATTAGTAGTAGTAGCAGTAGTAGTGTAATTAGTAGTAGTAGTATTGTGAGTAGTATTAGTAGTAGTATGTGCTTGTACACATGCGTTTCAATAGATTTCTAAGTGAATAAGTTTTTTTATGGTTAAGCAAAGGTTCAATTGAATTAAACGTTTCAAATGTTTCAAAGAAGTAAAAAAAAACATGTTATTTCCTTGAGTTAAATAAACTAATTTTTTTAATTACAAAAAGAAATAAGTTTAATAAAGAACAATGAAGCAGTAGTGAAACTGTTTTGTTTTGTGTTTTTTCTACTGGTTGCGTTAAAATTTGAAGTAGGATTCATCCCGCTTTAATGAATTGTGTACTGTTGACTTTGATTATAGAGATGAATTGTTAGTTAGTCAGTCAGTCAGTTAGTTAGTTGCAACGTAGAACTTCATGCATAAGCCATAGCGCAATCAGCAGGGAGACGCAACTGTCAATACAAATCCCATAGTGTTAGAGAGAGTAGAAGTATTGTGGTGCGCGCTACTTATAAGTAGTATATGACGTGAGTGTAAACGTAATGTCTGACAGCAGAAGATGGGGGAAGATCAAGAAAGGAAGAAGAGTGGGAACACAATGGAATTTGTATGAAATGCATGAAGAGTGAAATGTCAGACAATCGACTGATGATTGATTGAAGATTTGCAAATTAAGTTCGATATGATGAACTGATATTTTGCAAATTAATGATTTACGATATGGTTTTCCTATTTTACTGATTAACTCTATAATTTTCGTTAAATACAATTCGGTTGCCCTGACCTGTGTTATGCTTCACTACAGTATTAGCATTGATGGAGAAGAATAGGGTTCGAAGATATGATTCAGTCAGTCAGTCAGTCAGATGAACTGTTATATAGGCTAATTACTTTTCTGGTTAGCACATTTTCAATGAGTTGGTTTTCTATGAGATGGAATCGCTGACCCCATGCCTAAATCTCCTCCTTTATATAGTCTTGGGACCGGTAGAAACCCTAGGAGGGCTCTAGGCAGAGTTTCTCATAGCAGTAAGGCAAAAGTGTCTTTTCAAAGGCATATCTCAAAAACGAGTTATTTAAATATCAGTAAGTTATGCTATATCGATAGATCTAAGCGTAAAAGCATCATATACTCACGATCTTCAATAAATCAATCACAACCAGACAGACAGATACAACACAGAACTTCGTACGTATTTCCATCAGTTCAGGTTGCTATGCCGCATTAGCACAGAGGTGCACTTGTCATTTCAAATTACATAGTGGTAGAGATAGTAGAAGTATTAGCAGTAATGGAGAAAATTAGGTTTCGAAGATATGATTCGAGAAGTATCATTCAGTGAGATGACTTTCTTTAGAAAGAGATAGAGAGTGAAAGCTGTTCGTGCGATGGTGACAATATAAGTAGTTAAATGCGGATTGATATGGATGAGTTTAATTGAGTCGATCGTTGTTCATGAAGACAGACATGAGAATGTAAAGCTTACAATCAGAGATAAGTGAAGTAGAGAAAGTGACTGCGCCAATTCAATGTAATGAGGTACGACTAAGTATTTACAATCAGACAAAATAAGCTGAACATACGATAAGAGAATTAATCAGCACACACACTAGAATCGAAACAACCAAGATAAAAGCGAATAGTTGACAAAGTCAAAAGTCAAGGGAATATTAACTTGGGTAGAATGGATTAGTAGTCACATTGTACGAAGGCTTGGAACAAGTCCTGTGACCTCAACTTGTTGGGGATGTTAGATCCCCAGAGCTCGCTTGTTAAATGCTTTATTTTGGCTTTCACGTTTGCCAGCATGAGCTGATCAGTTGACCCGTCAGATCTCATTTCCCACCAGGAAAATCCATGACTGTGATTGGCTGCTGTGTATTTCAGTGTGCTATTTTCTTAACTGTCTCATGGACGTTTCTATGATGTATAAATAGACGAGAGTTGTATGCTTGATTGTACTGTGATTGCTGGGTGTTTGTAGAATATACTTTCTACGCTTACAAAGCCTCTTTTTCTTCAGCTTGGGATTCAAGGTAGCCTACCTGGACGCTGGTAAAAGTTCGTTCGCGTTTATCGACTAAGGTAAACTGGTAATAGCCTCAAGCATACTTAGTGACGAACATAATATGAACAATACTTTTAAAACTAATTCATTTTCTTCTGTGAGTAACAACTACTTCATCATCACAGTCTGACACGGTTGAACTTCAATGGTCACATCTTCTTACTGGAACTTTTTAGATTCTTGTACTTGACTAGTCAGTACGCGGTCCTATTCTAGAATAAAACGGTCATCTAATGATTCCAGGTTTCTAATTATAGTTTAACATTGGTCAGTTCATGATTTGAATGAAACTCAACAATCTACATATGCCTCATACTGTCTATATATTATTTAATTATATCTATAAAGCACCGGAGGGACGTTTCATCCTTGTATGGGTCTCCTTAACGGTGGTTCTAGATTTCTAAAGGTGGTCTAGCTGAGATCACTATTAAAAGAGTACAATCTTCGGAAATAAACATTAAATTTTCATCTAAAATCATTGTATTCTTGACTACATTGTGTTATTTAAAGGTTCAAATAGTCAGTACCAGTTATGTGTTGTTTCGACAACTGTCAGTTGTTTTGTTTTTAATTGACTTATGAAAATGTCAGCAGTTAAACGTTTCAAATATTAAAGTCATTCACTCAGTAATACGTATTTACTTACGCCTATCACCCACATTGGAGCATCGGTCGCCAACCAGTATTCTCTAACTTATTCGGTTCTCCGCCTTCCTTCAAAGTTCTGCCCAATTACTGTCCATTCTTCGCATATCTGTCACCTATTTCGTAGAGTAATATGTTCTTTGGTCTTCCTCTTTTCCTTTGACCTTGAGGTTTACCGTTTAGGCTTTGTTTGGTGATGCAGTTGGATACTTTCCGCAGTGTGTGTCCTATCCACTTCGAGTGCTTCTTCATGATTTCTGCCTCTACTGGAATCTGGTTTGTTCCCTCCATAGTATGTTGTTGCTGATAGTGCCTGGCCAACGGATCCACAGTATATTGCTTAGGAAACTGTTAATGAACACTTGTATCGTCTATATGATGACTTTTGTAGTTCTCCAAGCATCCTCAGTCTTCCGTAGTTACTGTCTACAACCGAACA